AGATTTTTCTGACGCGAAGAAGTCCAAACTAGGAGAAAGAAGCTATTAATACAGAACCTCAGGAAGGGATCCCTTGCCCTAGAGGCCACAGCTCTTACAGCTCTTTTTTTTTTTTTTTTTTTTAGACGGAGTCTTGCTCTGTCACCGTGCTGGAGTGCAGTGGCATCATCTCGGCTCAATGCGACTTCCACCTCCTGGGTTCAAGCGATTCTCCTGCCTCAGCCTCCCAAGTAACTGGGACTACAGGCATGCACCACCACTCCCAGCTTATCTTTGTACTTATAGTAGAGATGGGGGTTTCACCGTGTTGGCCAGGCTGGTCTCGATCTTTTGACCTCAAGATCTGCCTACGTTGGCCTCCCAAAGTGCTGGGATTACAGGCATGAGCCACCACACCTGGCCTATGGCTCTTTCATAGTTTGTTACAAACCTTCTTGTTTCCTCTAGTTTCAGAGAGTCTGGGGCTCTAAGGCTTTGAATTCCTGAGTCTTCTGACACATTGTGTTACAGTGATTCTCAAACTTCATTGAGCGTGCTCTGGTGAAACAGAGCTGGGTCCTGCCCACCAAAGATTCCAATAGATTCTAATAGATTGTGATTATAGGCAGCCGCCATCACTCAGGAACAGGGGGTAGTGGCTCACATCTAAAAAAAAAAAAAAAAAAAACACTTTATTGAGATATATTTCACACACCATACAATCCTCCCATTTAAAGTGTTTTAGTATATTCAGAGTAGTGCAACCATCAGAATATTTTACATTTGTATCACTCTTTTTTTTTTTGTATTTTTTTTTTTGTATCACTCTTAAAAAGAGTCCCAAACCTGTGAGCAGTCACTTTCTATTTCTTCCAACTTTCCTCAATCCCCGCCCCAGCCCCAGGAAACCAGGAATCTACTATCTGTTTGGATTTGCCTATTCTGGATAGTTCATGTAAATGAAAATGCACATTTGGTCCTTCGTAACTGGCTTCTTTCACTTACTATAATGTTTTCAGGATTCATCCCTGCATCAATACTTCATTACTTTTTATGGCTAATATTCCACTGTACAGATATACCACATTTTGCTTATTCATTCATCAGTCGATGAACATTTAGGTTGTTTCTTTTTCTTTTTTTTAGGAGACAGAGTCTTGCTTTGTCAGCCAGGCTAGAGTGCAGTGGCATATCATAGCTCATGGCATCCTTCACCTTGGCTCACGTGATCCTTCTGCCTCAGCCTCCCAAGCAGCTGGGACTGCAGGAAGGCAGCACCACACCCAGCTAATTAAAAAAATTTTTTTTTGTAGAGGTGAGGGGGATGGTCTTGCTATGTTAACTAGGCTGGTCTCAAACTCCTGGGCTCAAGTGATCCTCCCACCTTGGCTTCCTAAAGTGCTGGGATTACAGGTGTGAGCCACCACTCCTGACCTGGTTGTTTTTACTTTTTGGTTACTATGTGTTAGCCACGAATTAATGAGGCCATGAACAGCTGTGTACAACTTTTTATATGAACAGGTGTTTTCATTTCTCCTGGGTGTATAGCTAGGAGTGAAACTGTGGAGTCAAATCGTAAATCTACATTTAACCTTTTGAATTGTGCCACTGCACTCCAGTCTGAGTGACACAGTGAGACCTTGTCTCAAAAAAACAAAAAATGCCTTTTGAGAAACTGCAGACTGTTTTTCAAAGCAGCTGCACCACTTTACATTTCTGTCAGGAGCACAAGAGGGTTTCAGTTTCTCCAAATCCTGGCCAACGTTTATGATTACCTGCCTTTGGTTATCGGCATCCTAGTGGGTGTGAAATGGTATTTCACTATGTTTTTAATTTGCGTTTTTCTGATAGCGAACACTATTGGGCATCTTTTCTTGTGCTTATTGGCCATTTGTCTGTTTTCTTTGGAGAAATGTCTATTTAGATCCTTTGTCCATTTTTAAGCTGGGTTATTTGCCTTTATTAAATTGTAGGAGTTCTTTATGTATTCCATTAAGTTTCTTATCAGACATGTGAATTGCAAAATTTCCTCCCCATTCTTTGGGTTTTCTTTTCACTTTCTTGATGTCCTTTGATGCATAAAAGTTTTAACTTATTGTGAAGTTCAATTTAACTATTTTTTCCTTTGTTGCACATGGCTCATATTTTTGAGAAACATTTCTAAAACACAGCTCAGAACTCTGGAAGCCTTGAGATCTCAGAGCTTGGTGGGGCTTTTCAGGTCACCTTTGAGAGGAATTTTCTCCATGTTTGAGGTTTCATTCCTCCATCCCAGCCAGGCATGGCTCCTCTGAGCCAGGAGCATAGAGCCCCAGGGAACCTTTACTGGGTTTACATTCCCTCTCTCTGCTGAGGTCTGCCACAATAGAACAGCTGAAATGACAGTCTGGAAATGTCCTTTATTGTGAAAACTCAAAGGCTTTTATCTCTGGGATTTGAAATTTTCATGCAAGTGTTGGCAGCCAAGAATTAGGAAGGAGGAGGGAAAGAGATGGGGGAGTAAACGCTGCCACTGATTTCCATAGAGAGTCACCTCAATTCTCTGTTGTCTTGGTTTTCTCACTCATACAGTGGGGCTCATTCCTCCATCTCCCCATCTCACTGGGGTACTGTGAAAGTGAATTCACACGTATTTATTAGAACACCTTGAGATCTTGGATTAAAGGCATTACTGAGACACAAGGTATTATTATAACAATAAATGATTTAATAGCAGGGTGAGACCATTGCAACAAGAACTGGTAGGAAGGAAGAGGCTCTGAGCTGTGGAGGGGCTGCAGACTGAAGCCCCTGGCCCTGGACACAGGGTTTTATTCTTGGAGGTGAGACTGTGATTTCTCACAAGCTCTTTGGGCTATTTCAGCTGAATTCAGCAGTTTTACTGAGTGCTTCCTATATGACTTCTACCAAAGGGAGATTACAATCTTTTTAGGAAGTAGGTGATATAAAGTAAAACTAAAACAATTATTAATAGAAACAATACAAGATATTATAATCAAGTGAATTGGGTATAACAAGTGTCAGAAAGAAACTGGAAGCAGTGGTGATTAAGAGCAGAATTCCCTGTTATGACTTCCAGGTCTACCACCACCCATTAGCTGTGTGACTTTGACTTTGTCTCAGTTTCTTTTTCTGTTACTGCAATTGTTTTTGTAAAGCACTTAGAAGAATGGCTAATACATAGTAAATAGTCTCATGGTGGACCCACCTAGGCACTTGCCTGACACTGCTTTTGCTGGTTATAAAATCTTTGCCAAGTTGCTCCATGCCTCCAAGCCTCAGTGTTCTGTCTGTAAAATGGGGATTAGGATACCTCATACCACGCAAGGTGGCTGTGAAGATCCCAGGGCACAGTTTGTGAAGAGTGTAGCACAGCCCCTCTGCATGGTGAGCATTCACTGGAGGACAGTTATTACTGTCACTAACACTGTAACGTGCCCTGGCTAAGGCGTGAAGGGTCCCTCACAAGTGGCTTAGTTAATTAAGTCAGGGGGTTTCTCTGGAAGCTGGAATTTGAATCGGACCAGAAGGCATTCGTAAGATTCAGGTGATAAGAAGTCAGAAACAAACAAACAAAAATGGTGAAAGCCTAATGTTGGAAAGCGTAAGGACAAATCCTGGAAGGCCAGAATGGGGACTTGTCACTTTTCCCCTAGCTGGCGGGGTCTAGTGGAGCCCTAATGGAAGTTGATTTATCTCCGAGGAATCCCTGCTCTCACCTTCGCGGTCCGCGAGTCTGGGGCTCTGCAAGCCTCCAACACACCCTCCCTCCCTAAGGAATGTGGGCTCCGCTTTCAGAGCCTGCCAGACCGAGCACCTACCGCTTCCTCCGCAGTCAGGAGCCTGGACGCTGCCTTCACCCCACCCTCTGCCAGGATCCAGTTTCAAAGTCACCTGAAAGCCATTTCCTTCCGCGCCAGCCCCGCTCCTCCCCTCGCAGTAGATCACCTGGACCTTGCATTTGCCCAGAGTAGCATTTTGGGGCGGGCGCTTGTTTTATTTTAAACGAGACCTCAAGAAATCGTTTGCTCTATACCTGGATAACAAATACACCCCGTGGTTCTGATATCAGCGTCCCATTCCTCCTCCCAAGGAACTAGTGACAAAGTCTTACCAGTGGGCGTTGCTTCTCTTCCGGGGCCCCAGCCTGGGCTTCCCTCCTCCGGGCTTGTAGGGAATAGCCTCGTTTTTTTTTTCGGGATCTTTATTGATGAATTATTACAGGTTTTCAGATTTATGCTCTTGCTCAAAATCCAACATGCCTGTATTGAATGTCCCTGTCCACCATCCTCACCCCTTGCCCCAGTTTCCAGGTGTGTACCTTTCCATGCGCACATGGTCATACACAGAGACATAAAGACAAACGGTTCTCTTTGTTTTAAAAAAAACGTGGTCCTCTATCATCTGTTTCTGTGTCTTATTTTTCCTATTTAACAGTTCCTTGAGCTGCCTTCAAGTTATCTGCTTTATCTCTTCCCCATCAGCTTTTCGGAGGTTTGGATTTACCTCTGTAAAGCGTCACAGGGACGGAATTATGGTGAGGAATTCAAGACATGCCTTTCTGACTCGGAAAAGCGGAGACGGCCTGCTCTGGTAGGACCCCCAGATCCGATCCCAGCTGGCGACTCACTTGGGAAAGCCCTCAGCCCCCTTCGTAGGGCCCAGTGTTCCCTGTCCGTGCAAGGGGGACGCTCTGGCCATCCGTGCGCTCTCGGGAGGCTGTGGTAGCAGGTCTGTGACACCAGGGTGACCCCACCACGTGCGGCTTGGAATCCTAGAGCATCTAGGCTACCCGGGAGGGGCAAGCGGCCGGCGGGACTGACCCTGCCGGGGCGCGCGCTCATCACCCTGCGGGCGTTAATCATTAGCCGCACCCGGGCCCCGCTGCCGCCGCAGTCTCACCCCGGCTCGGGCTCGCGGCGCAGCAAAGGTTCCCCGGCCCCCGCGGAGCCGCCAATTGCTGGACCGCAGCCGCGGGCCGGAGTCTCCACCCACAGGAAAAATTCCTGGCCCGCCCCTCCCTCGCTCCCTCATTCCCTCCCGCCCTCCCGCTGCCGCTCCGGCTCCGCTCCTCGACTTCCTGCCCAGCGCTGGGAAGCTGCGCGCTGGCTGGGGTCCCCAGGGGCCGGGTCTGGGCGGGCGGAGGGGCTGGCGGTGGGCGGGAGCGGCGGGCGGCCTCAGCCCCTTCCGAGAGCTACTTTCAAACTCGCGCCCGCGTCGCTGCGGCACCTGGGTAGCCCCGCACCCAGTGCGTGTCCGGAGCCCGCGGAGCGGCGACCGCTCGGTGAGTGTCCCCGGATCCTCCCCCTCCCTTCTCCGCTCTGCCGCCTGCAGTCACGCCGGGGCTCCTGTCCCGGGCCAGCCGCCTGCGGGGTGAGGACCCGGGCGAACGAGGAGGGCCTGGGACTGTGTGGGCTCCTGCCCGGGCCATCCTGCCGCAGAGGGCGCGAGCGCGGGAGGGTCGTGCGGGGAGGCGTTTTCTGTCCTTTTTCCCCTCCACTCCGGAAACAAAAGGGGCAAATGCGCCGGGTGGCTCCAGAGAGGCTCAGCTTGAAATCCAGAAAGCCCGCGAGGCCGCGCGCGCCCGAGGGCTGGTGTTTGGCTGGAGCTGTGGGCCGGGCGGGCGGACCCTTCTGCGCGGGGATCCGAGCTCTGCTCCTGCCTGCCCGGGAGGCGCCTGCAGCCTGTTCCGGGTTGGTGCCGCGCGGTGCTCGCTGTTGTTGGGAATCTCGGCTACCTGTCCGGGAGCGAGGGGAGTGGGGGCCAGAAGCGTGGAGGGGAAAGCACAGAGGCCACCGGCCGCCTCGACCTCGCCCGCTCCTGAAGTCCGTTTGGTTCTTCGCACCCTTCTGTCAGCCCTTTGGTTTGGAAAGCCTGGACAAGGCGTGCAAGCTTAAACTTTTAAGGCGTTGTTTAGATAGCTACTTGTCTCTTTGGGGTGACTTTGGAACACAAAAGGAAGAATGGAGCGGGAAATGGAATGGTTGGAGGTGGAGAGGTGTGGTTTTGGGGGAGAGTGGTGTTAGAGGCCCCCGAAGAGTTTTGACCTCGTAGTCACTCGCTAATCTGTTGGCAGATGTAGGTGCCTCCTGTACCTTGCTCTGGGGCCCCCGGCAGGAGACCCACACTGCATTCACCTTTCGGGAAACCCTGGACTGCGAGTTCCCAGTTTCTCCCCAGCCGTGCCTCTGCACGCAGCCCAGTCACATGGCCCTTGCTCAAGAAATAATAAGCAGGGAGGGTAATGACAGTCCAGAGAGGGGGAGGGGCCCACGCTGAGCACCTCGGGCCGCCTAACCTTCAGCAAAGAGGCTTTCCAGGCTCTCCTTTGTTGGACAAGGATGGAATCCTGAGTTACTAAACCCCGACTGTTCCCAGGAGGAAACCTAGGAAGAACCAAAAGTGTACATTTATCTCTGTTATTCATTTCTCCCCTGTGGTTCTGGGCCGGCCCCCTGGATGGAATAGCCTCACCTCCCCGTTCGACACCTGCTGTCCCCCACTCCCTTCCTGGAAGATGGGACTACCCTTTGGCTCCCTGGGTCACTTGCCCTGGGGATAGAGCAGGGAGTTGGGGGGAAGAGGTACCCAGAGGCCAAGTCCTAGCTGCTGAGGGAGTGACGTGTGGAAGAGCTGCTTTGCGGGGCTTTTCTACTGCCTTTTATTAGAAGTGGCATGGCAGGGGAATTGGAAAGAGCACTGGACTGGGAGTCCAGCACGGGTTTATGCCTGAGTTTTAAACCTGGCTCTTCTGCATAATACGGAAGATGGATGGAGTTGAAGGTTGAGAGTCCCTTGGGCTGGAAGGCCCCTCCGATTAGCCTACTCCATTTACTCGTCAAGGCAGCAGAGCCCGGAGGGGTGAGGTGATTTCAGCCTGGGACCCTATTGGCCATGTAGAAACCAGAGCTCAGATTTCCTCATTGTCTGATCTGTGTTTTTTTTTTTCCAACATGATCTGGTCAATTCACTTACCTTTTCTGACTCAGTTTCCACATGAATAAAGTGGGATCCCTTGCCCGCTCTTCCTCATAGGAGCTGTGGTGAGGATCAAAGGAAGCCTCATTTGTGGAAAGTGCTCCATAAACTCCTGTTAAAAATAAAGGGCTCACAGTGGATGGGAAGGGAGTCTCCCAGTGGTTTTAGAATTTGCTGGCTATGTCCCATGTGTGTGCCACAAGGAAATGTTAGATTCTAGGAGCCACTGGTGGATGTTTGAAACACCCTGGTCTTAATAGCTCAGCTCCAGAGTAAACATTTGCCTTACCAAATCCACTGCTATCCCAGGGTCACTGTTTGCGCCGGAGGAGGCCAAAGGCCACGGCTCGTGGGGTGACGGGGTGAAGGGGGAAGGCGCCTGTGTTGCGGATGTATACCTTGCCCCTTCTCTTCTGCTGGCTCCCAGAACCTTGTGAAGGCTCCAGCTGTAAGCCTGGGGGTGCTGCCACAGGCCCAGGCCGTCCTGGCCTCGGAGGGTTAAAAGCGAAGCCCTCTGACTACTCTCTGTTGTGTTGGGGGTTGCAAGGACTCTGGGAGGGTGTTGCTTTTGCAGCTGCACTCAGGGCTGTCTTCAGCTTCTCATCTGTGCCCCCTCCCCCATCCCAGGCTGCCCCTCTGGCCCAGGCGACTGCTCTGTCCCGCCTCTCTGGCCAGCTGCATGTCCACAGGCCTTTGTTCCGTGGCTGCAAGCCCGCCCTACTCCATCCTCCCTCCCCAGCAGAAGCCCTCCAGCTGGGGCCCTGGCAGCTGGAAATCACAACTGCCAGCAGGAAGGGGCTACTGGAGCCCCTAGCAGACCTGGCAGACCCTCGTTTCCTCTTGTCAAGCTCATCTGGGCCCCCCCCCCATGCACCTCTGGCCAGATTCCCACACCATCTTTTCTCATCTCTCCTTTCTTCCTCTGAATGGACGGTTCATCTTTTTCCGCCAGTACTCATGCCTCTTAGTTCTACTTTAAAATACTCTATTCATTCATTTAACAGTTAAGGAGTTAGCACTTACTCTGTATGAATGCTAGTTGCAGAAGACACAGCAGTGAAGAAAATATACAATAATTATTGACCTCATAGAGCTGACTTCAGCAGGAGTAACAATAAAGGTTGAAATAGGGAGCACGTTAGTGATAATCAGAAATAAAAACTATGATAGGAAGGTAGGTGTGAATTGTCGTGGAAGGGCTGAGGTGACAGTTTAGATAGGGTGGCCGGGGAGGTTTCTGGGAGGAAGGTACTTTGGAGGTGATGCCTGAAGGAGGTATTTTCCTTCATCTCTGCCTTCTCTTCCCTGAAGCCCAGCTCATCTCACTGTGGCATCGAGGAACAGGGTTTGGAATGGGACACACCTTGGTTTCAAATCCCTGGTTTGACAGCTCACCAGCCCTGTGCGCTTTGACGTGGTGCTAAATTCCTTTGAGCTGTGTTTCTCACCTATAGCAGGGAGTTAGTCATCATACCTACCACATGCGGTGTCTCTCACCTATAGCAGGGAATTAGTCATCATACCTACCGTATGCGGCATCATGACCACGTACAGTGAGATGACATGGTGAATGCTTAGCAAAGACGATAGAGAGGTTCCATAAATTATTTCTCCAACCAAATTCTGCAGGGCGAGCATGAGATGGTTAATGCCATTGCTAAGGGCTCTAGGTGCAAAGCTTTTCATTTTAGGTATTGGGCAGGAGTAGGGAATTAGAGGGAGGGGAAAATAGAAAACCTTGGCAAAAACTTTGTAGTTAGGGAGCCTTTCCTGCCCTACCCTAGATTGCAGATGGCTGGGGACGTGGGACTTCCAGGTGTGTGCTATGTGCCACCCCCACTGCACCCCCACAGTTAGCATGACTGGGGCAGTCCTGACCACCCCGATCTTGCTCTGGAATTCCCCCTGCTTCCAGCCAGCCCCAGTGAATCACACCTCCCTGGCCTCCCAACTCTGCCTCACAGCTGTCTACCCCTCCCCCAGCCTCCTGTAGGTAAATTATTCCTGGAGGTCGATGCCAGCTGGTGGGAGAGGACCAGGGGTAGGGAAAGTGGAGGAGGGTGCAGACGGTGGGTGGAGCTGTCCTAGGAAAGCCCAAAAAGGTAGCTAGAGGATTCTGGTGGAGGCTCTGAGAAGGCTAGGAAGACTTCCAATAAGGGTTTGCCATGGACCAGAATTTAAAGCAACAGAGTGACAGACACAACGAGAGCTCAGCGTCGTCGTCTGCGTAGCTCCTAGTCTAGCTCCCAGCCGCTTCCACCCAGCTGATCTGATGAGTCTCCACCCCTCTCTGCTGGTACTACGGCCTCGAAGGGAGGGGTGTAATCTAAAGTACTGCTGTCATAGTCTGTGGTGAGTGGCTTCCTGAGGACCCTGCCCTAGCTCAGGAAGTGAGGGATGGGCAGTGGAGGGTGAGGCCTAGGGAAGTGGTCATGGCAAGATCTACCCCCCTGCCCCACCCCATAGCGTGTGGCTGCACACCCAGGGCAGCCAGGCAGGCCCTGTGATGAAGGAACTTCCTGAGCCTGCCAGTTGGTGCCAGGAGATGGGTAAAAGCTAGATGATCTGATAACAGAGGAAGTTGCAAAGAGGGCCCTGAACAGCCCCAAGCATGCTAGCGTTGGGTGACCTGAAGTCAGGAGAAAGAAAACTGGACGGGGCATGGACTAAACTGATCTGAAGGGGGCCCGTCTAGAGCCACTGGTAGCCCCACCATGTGTCGGCTGCCTGGGGATAAAGGTTGGCCTTGCTAACTGGGTTGCTGTCTGAGGCCAGGAATGGTGCTGGGCTCATCTTTGTGCCCAGATGGCATTGAGAATGGTACAAAGTGTGATCAACAGGATGTGATGGGCTTGGGCTGGGGTCCCACCCTGAGAGTGATCTGGGCTTGTGGTCTCATCTTCTGCAGCTTTTGATCCATGGGACCCTGCCGCTGCCTTCTTCCCCCTCGGTAATCCCATGGGATTAGGGGGAAGAAGGCAGCGGTAGGGTTGAGTCCAGCCCTAGGTGGGCTGTTGCCATCAGGGAATGCAAGCACTAGGGAGAATAGGGCTTCCTACAGTTATCTCGGCTGACCTTCGGGAAGGGAGCCCTTATTAAGTAAGCTCAAGGAATGGAGTTTTAAGGACTTGCACTCTCTTTCATGCTGAGCAGATTTGGGCTGAGCACAGCCAGAATAGGGTTCTCGTGGGCACAGTGGTAGCTGTGCATGCGGCCTCGTGAAACACAGTTTGAGGGTCCTACAAGTTGATCTGATTATCACCAGAATCTGGGCTGGGACTGGAAGGGAAAGATGCAGAAGGAGTG